CTTCGCGAAATCACGTGGACCTTTTTTTGTGAGGTCCCTGGCCCGTCAATTTTGCGCATTTATCACGAATCTTTATTCGTATATTTTTCGGTCTTCCTTGTTTTAAGGCATTGCTTTACCCACGAAATATCCTTGAAGCGATTAAAACTGCCGGAGAATTTTTGCAACAAAACTTCGAGCGGGTATTTATGACTGTACTCTCACAATTCACGCTTGCAAACTTTCCTGCTCAAAAAAATTAAGTGGAAGGTCTTTCCAAGTTCCAAAGGTAGTTGTGACCTATTGTTTGAATTCTGGTTTGATACCAATGTTAAAATGATGGAATAATCGTTGATAAACTAAATATACCTCTCCTCTCGATCATTTTAACTTAACAGCCCACTTTTTCTTACATTTCTGGCAAATCTACGAATTAAAAATTCCTACATAAATATTTATATCTAAGCTTGTGATCCTCGATAATACTTCCAATAAATGTGAAAGTAATGGTGCTCCAGCTAGTCTAAGTAAAGCAAAAGTGCCTTAGCCTTATTATAGGCAGTCTAAGCTTCTGCATGTTACTAGCCACCGCCAAAAGCTCTAAATACATCTTATGTATTTTTTTATCGTGATATTTCAGTAAGTCGATCCACCGAGTCCAGTTTTGTACAGTAATGTCTATCTGGTTTTCTCTAGTTTGATTTGTCACATTCAGACCCTAAAAATCCGATCTAAAATGAAACTGTTAACCCTTCGCTGACACAAAAATGAACAAAACCACTTGCGACACTTTCTTAAGGATACAGGATAGTGTTTCCGTAGGAAGGAGCATGAAATTGAATTTGCGAATACCGTTTAATCATGCAATATTCGTGTACCATTTCATTTCAAAGAAATAATCCGTATTCGAATTTTTATCAGATCAACTGGAGTTGTATTTCTTAGTTTCAACAAACCTAACATCCGCCTATCCTCACAATTACCTTGTCTTATTTGGTGAACTCGCTTTTTTTTCAAAACAAGCACAGTAATTTACCGAAGTTACACAAGTTTGAATGCAAATGTATAGCTAGTTTATTACAAACGCAAGGAAGTCAACTCATACAGCTCAGTTAAGTGTTTTGCCCGATTAAAATCAATATCAAACTTTCGAATCGCTCCCTAACTTTAAAACAACAAACATCACTTGATTAAACTTATTTTTAGTCTTTTAAATACATCTATTTGCAGAGACCACGGCTAAGAAATTATCTGCTAAGAAGAAAAGAAAATACCTACAATAATGGAGCGATGATAAATAAGTCACTCAGCAGGTGTAAGTAACTGTGGGTATTTTTTTGAAGGGCCAGTAACTCTAATGTCAAAAACATTCTAGCGCAATCTTGATTCAAATTGCAGAATAAAGATTCCTTTCACACCTTAAGCCGCCAAATCTTCCGTCGGTCGAGTGTAATAATCTAATCCAAAACATAAATTTTTCGACGCATTTAAACGTAATCGGATAATATATCCGACCAAAAAGGACAAAAATAAACGGAAATTTAAAGAGTACTGCAGAGAGACCTCTTGCCTTTTTCGGAATTTCGCGAACTCAACCAGTTTCAATCAGAAAATCTAGGACGCGCAATGACGCACACCCCGTATACGTAACCTCTTCAGATCCTTAATGTTCATGGCCTTTATGGATGCCCATGTGACATTTGGGCCGCATCTTTAAAGGCAGAAAGTCGACTTGGAAAGAGTTTTGCGAGCCGTGTCAACTTTCTCAAAGTTCTCATTGGAGAACAGAATTGCATTTTCTCGTGCTTCAATGCTTTTTCACTTTATTCTAAGAGTTTTCGATACAAATTTAAGGTTTTCTTTTTTCTTTTTTCCCAAACCTAATATCCGAGTAAATAAAACCAATTATTGTGAGAAAGAGCGACGCCAAGAATGGCACAATTTGGGCCAGAAGGGATTTTTCTGAAACCGGGCCCAAACGATACCTTATGATACCCTAAAACTCTGGTAAAAATTTTAGCTTGAGTATACGCACCGTTTTTGAGAAATGGGGGGGCAAAGTTGCCAAATCGCCATCATTCTGGACAGCATTTTTACAACAAAAAGTCGGGAAAAATGGACGAAAAAGTTACACCATTGATGGGTTTGGGCTGTAAATGTTCTTATTGAGCCCCCGTGCATGTGATTGTCTGCAGTTTCAAAGATGTTGGACGTACAGTGGTCTAAAATGGGGAGAAATCGTGGACAGATAAGGATTCTTTGTCCAACTTTTTAAAAATGGAAGTAAAATTGTTGGTCTCCTGCAGAGATCATGGGGAACAATGTTCTTATTGGTCTTCAATGCATTCAATTGGGTTCAGGTTATCAAATTTTCATCGCACAATGGTCCAAAATGGGAAATTAGAGGACAAATCAAGATCTTCTGCCTAACTTTCTAAAAATGATGTACGACTATTGGTTCCCAGTAGACTTTAGATCCCAGAAAAATTCTTTAAATTCTTTTTTTGACTATTTAAATCTTTTTTAAATTTTTTCTCTCCATTTTTCTTTCTTTTTATTAAATTTCTGAAAGTTTGCATATTTTATTGAAATAATGCTACAAAGTCTTTTCTATAACAACGTTCTATAAACAATACGGTCTGACATATATAAATAATTAAAAAAAATAAAAACATGAATTTTTCTGGGATTTAAACTCTACTGGGGACCAACAGTTTGACAGAGGATCTTAATTTGTCCACTAATTCCCCCATTTTTGACTACTGTGCGATGTACATTTGTGAAGCTGAACACATTTTCATGCATTGAGGACCAATAAGAACATTGTTAGCCATGAAAACTGCAGCAGACCGACAGTTTTACTTCCATTTCTAAAAATTTGACAAAGAATCCTGATTTGTCGATGATTTCTCCCCATTTTGGACCACTGTGCGACCAAAATTTTTGAAGCTGAACACAGTTAAATGCTTGGGGGCCCAATGAGAACATTTACAGCCCAAACCCATCCAAGATTTGACTTTTTCGTCCATTTTCCCCGTCTTTTTGCTGTAGAAATGCTGTCCAGAATGATGGCGATTTGGCAACTTTGCCCCCTCATTTCTCAAAAACCGGGCGTATACTCAAGCTAAAACTTTTACCAGAGTTTGAGGGTATCATAAGGTATCGTTTGGGCCCGGTTTCAGAAAAATCCCTTCTGGCCCAAATTGTGCCAAAAAACGGTCGTTTTTGGCGTCGCTCTTTGTTTTATCGAGGAAGAAAAGAAAGAAACTAATAATAAAAAAAGGATAATTCTCGGCGAAAATATCTATTAAAGTCTGATCAGATATGTTTTCAAAAGTTAAAATATCAGTAAATCCATGAAAACCTGAAATTTTCTGACCGATCAAGGTGCGGCATTTTTTTTCATATTAAAAGGATTGAGATGCACTGCCCAGTTTCTCAGGTACTTGGCTATTTGAGTGCTAAAACGAACGACAACTCCCATGCATTTCTTAAGAAAGAGGCAAAAAAAGTGAAACGCCTTCAATTTTGAATATGCAACACTCACAACCACCGAACACGAATAGTTGCATCAAGGCGCTACAGTCAACTTAGTCTAGTCTTTGCAAATCAGAAACGCCTTCAATTTTTGAACCAGCAACACGAACATCCAAGGTACTGAAAATATTGGCAAATTTAAAACTCGTTTTCCGTGGAAAACTTTGAACGTAAACACAAGAATGGAATAAATATATTCATAAATAAATTTTGTCAAATGTGAAGAGCCAAGAGTCACATTCAGCCTGAGCGATGAAAACAACATTCTATAAGAATCCTCAATGGTGAAACTCCCAAACCACTTATCTCGATTTGCGACGTTGCAGACTTCCTGTCATACTTCATTTTTTCAAATGAAGCACTACCCAACGTCAGTTATTAAAAATTTCTGTGATTTTTCTTCCTTGTGCGAGGTAAATTCTGAAAAATTCCAAAGAATAATGTTGATTTATTCTCCTGAAAAAAAAAAAAAAAAATAGGAGCGGACATTTTCAAACACAGCAAACGAGATACGTAGTTTGGTAGTTTTACCGTCGCTTTTCAAACGTTCAGGCCGCGCGAAAAGCTTTCCTCTCAATTTTTTTAATTTTGTAATTTTTCTTCCTTGTGCGAAGTAAACTCCAAAAAATTTCAAGGAATGTTGCTGATTTATTCTCCCTCAAAAAAATCAAACAGGAGCGGAGATTTTTAAACACTACAAACGAGATACGTGGTTTGGTAGTTTTCGATTTTCAAACGTTCAAGCCGCGGAGAGCTTTCATCTCAATTTTTTTATTTCGTAATTTTTCTTCCTTGCGTGAAGTGAATTCCAAAAAATTTCAAGGAATGATGTTGATTTATTCTCCCTCAAAAAAATCAAATAGAAGCAGAAATTTTTAAACCGGCAAACGAGACAAATGCTTTGGGAGTTTTACCGTCGTTTTTCAAACAATCAAGCCGCGGAAAGCCCTCATCTCAAAACGCCGTGGGAAAACATAGATTTGGATTCGCAGTGATTGAAAATTTTCAGAATTCGCTTACACCGAGGCTGGAGCCGGGGAGTGAATTATGTTCTGCAACGGAAACAGGGAATGAGTAAGAAAACGCATGTTTGGAAAAGAAAAGATGACGATAATTAAAATCGCTAGGTGCAGGCGTTCCAGACCGGCATAGAGAAGGATAGAGACGGGTCGACCCGAGGCGAAAGGGTTCAGAAGGAGCGCGAGCGAGGAGGAGAGGCGGCAGCCGGGAAGGGGGGAGACGTCGAGGCATGGGGAGAAAAATGAAAAGAAGTCAAGAGAATGAATAACGATGTAGTATTGAAATTATGCATATCGGGAAAGTCCCGATGCGAAGTTAATAAGAAAAAGTTATAGTTTTTATGATTTTTTTCTTTTAGGGAACGGCCCGGCGCGGCCGGGGCAGGGAGGGGAACCTATCCTGTGCGCAGAAGCCCGGCGCGGCGCGCTACGCGCGCGGTGAATGGAAGCAAAGAGTTGATGTTTCAGTAGTAGTTAGTACCCAACTGATATGGGTTGGAGCTAGAGGTCCCGGTGAGTTGCGTCCGCTCCGCGTTCCTTGAACACTCCTCCACCGTGCTTTCTCTCTTCGCTTTCCCCCGAGCTTTTACTTCGCGGAAAAGCTCGCTAGTTTACGTTCGAGTGTCTCGCATCTCGTCTCAAAAACTTTGGTTGTCATCGGGTGCGCTAACCCTATTCGCGCTCGGTCGCAGCCCCGCGTCTTATCGAACGAATCGTGTCTCCCCTCGGAGCGGCTAAACTTTGAGCTTTAGCACATGTGTTTCCACCGCCGCTCACTTCCTGTGCCGTGCTGTGATTGATAGAAACTTGTGTTATCGCTGTCTGTGTGTGTGTGCACCGTGCTTTCCAGCTTCCCGCTTCGGTAATTTGTTTACATTTTTTTCGCGTGTGTGGAGTATTCACCCCCAAGTCACTGGATTACTCTGCAGATATATACCCGTGTTTTGATTGTTTTAAAGAATGCTCTGTTCTTTGAAATTGTGCTCTGTGGATTTTACTAACTGTCTGGCTGTTTTCAAGTGTTCTATCTACCGCTCCATTTCTACATCACTTTCTGTAAGTACCAATAGATTTCGGATTACGATTTCGACGAGCCATAAAAGCTGCGAAAAGCGTCTAAACCACTGCTTTCATGAGGATTTAACTTCCTTCAAATTGCTGTGTCGCAGCCTGTAGCTGCTGATTGGTCTGTGAGGTTAGAAATCACAAATCGTCACTGTCTCAAAGTTTTAACCAATTAACAAAATGTGTGTATCGTGTCAAAATGTTGGATACACTCGTGGCGTTTTAAACGAAACCAAAGAAACAAAAGAAACAATTTTGGCCAACCTGCTAAATGTTTACACGGTTTCTATGAATTTTCACACGCCGACATCTTCAAAGATGTTAAATCGTCCGGTACAATCTTTTGAAACCTCACCATTCCGTATGCATACAGTTAGCTGCCCCTTGTCGGGAACCGGAAATTTCTTCACAGGCAAAATTGAATTCTGCCTAATTCCTTTTTTAGTTTCAAAGATTTACCTTCAAATGATGTTATCATCGGTCGAAATTTTTACCGTAGATTAGGGTGATAGAATCCCCCTGTTGGAATTTTAATACTTCATTTGTAGGAGTTTAAAGTTCCAACGTTTCAAGTTTAAAGTCAGGAAGTGGCATCCTTTTTCTTGAGAGGGAGAGGATGCATAGAAATCCTCATCATCAGAGTAGACTATGAGCGCATGAAGGCACCTGGCACCTTACTTTGGGGGTCACGGTACTTTTCTTCAGTTTCGATCCGGGATCCTGGAAGAAATTTTAAAGTCTCTGGAGCAATTTGCAGCTTTTCTCACCGTAAGACTCATTGGCAAACAATTCCTAAGATGAAATCGTTGGTCTGTTTTGTTGCATGATTCGTTAAATTATCCCAAGGAAGCCAAATGAAATTCTGAGGGGGCAAAGTCCGGCCCCCTGGCTCCATCTGGTTCCGGTCATGATGAAGTCAGCTCGCCGGAGTAAAGTCGATCGTAAGCGACCTCGAATAGATCGATTCTTTTAGTTGAATATTGAAAATTCGAAAAAAGCCCATTTTACCTGGGACGCGATCGGTAATTAGACCCCATTTTGCAATTAGGAATTAAAATTTCTTGCTTATCATAGATATACCCAACATATGTGCAATTAGTTGATAGGTGGTTTAATGTATCAGCCAGAAATTTTAGTTCCAAATTGCAAAATGCAGTCTAATTATGACGTTTTAGGATCCATAATATGATCTTGAATATTCCCTGCATTTTTCCCAAGTAACCAGCAATTTCGAATTAATTCAGATAGATTAAGTCAGCTACTTTTCGTGCGATTTATTTCTTTTTCCCCATAATTGAAGCTGCAAGTCCACCAATGTGCGTAACTTGTATTTTGTTGTTGACCATGTGTCACTTATGACACTAATTAAAGCTTTGTTTTGTCCAAGAATTGTAAAACTCGCCTAACATTGACCTCAAACTGAATAATCCAAGCTGTCCAGTTTTATTGCAGCTCTAAGTGCTGCCCGATTATGAAGTGTTTCCTCTATTGCTAGTCCTAATAACTTATTAAGGATTAACTCGTAAAGTCACTCCATAATGAAACGAAAATGGGAAATATCGTGGAGAATGGATAACGAGCTTTTAAACAAAAACCTGTCGAACTCCGTAAACACGGAGGTTACCAATCTCAATTGGATGCATTTCCTCTATTATACGTTTTTAGGTTCTTAGGTATTGCATGTTAAAAAAAAACTTAAATAAATATGGAGCTAGGTATTCAGGGACTTTCTCATCATCGTCATTTTGTTCTCTGCTTTATCTCACTATCTACATTCCATATGATGTATTCTTCTTTTGTATTCATGTTTATTATTTTTTCTTTCTTCTTCTCACTAAGTCATATTAAATTTAATATCGCATAGAGGAAGGGGGGGGGGAGCTTTACAATGTAGGACATCAAATAGGCAGTTGTAACAAGGTCAAACTTGGAATTAATTTCCACTCACGAGAACTCCAAATGACTATAAATGTTGAAATTTAATTTTTTATTTTATTTTGCGTGCTCACATGTTTATAATTACTTGAATCAATTTCTATGCTCCCTTTTTTTCTGTGAAATTAACTTGAGTAAATTCAACAAGCGCAAAAGAGTGAATTTAAAAGTTCGTTAGGATGATTGAAATGTTCCTCTCCAGAGCCCATAAGAAAGGGATATTTAATAAGAAGAACTAGTGGACGAGTACGAGAGCAATTTTTTGTGCGTGTTTTTTTTTTTTACTTAAAGCATTTTCTTTCTGTTGATAAGGAGCTGTTAATTTAATTTTTCTTAACTATTTAAAAGTCGTATATTTTACCCGTCTAGCTGTATCTTATTTAATTTCAGATACATTAATTTCACTCTGTTTACCTAGCTTTTACTGGGAGAGATAAGCGAGGTCATCTAATTTTAAAGTAAGCTCTGTTGGATGATCCTTTTGAATATTCTCATGTTGAAGTAGAGAAGTAGAAAGTACTGTACCCTCTTCATATCAGTGATCGCACAATAAATGATCGACACCAATTGTTAAGTTTGGAGTTTAAGTAGCGTGCATCACGAAAGCCAAGGCTCTCTCGCCTTAACACAGCACGCAATACAGATTGTAGAAAAGCTAAGAGCGCCAAGAAGATGAACATTATCAATATTAATCGCCAAAAATTTGCGAGAGTTAAAATTTGCCAGGGTCTCGTTATAAAATGTGAAGTTAAGTCAGAAGAACATAACTTGGGAATGGGTTGGGATGACATCGGTAAACCAGGCCTGTAACTGTATAATACGGTGAAGTGGAATGAAAGGGGGAACAAGCAAAGGGGGATTGCAAATGGAAACGAATACTTTTTTCCACCTAAATGGACTGAACAGTGCAGCCAGCGATAACTCAACTTCCAACTTCCCCTATCCACTGTCCATCATAATTAAACGAACTCTTGCCTTAATTGATGTTTATTTTCCAGCCATTAATGATAGTGACGCTGGCTTTCATTTCTTTTACCTCTCGAGCAATCGATCGAATTTTCCGATCAATTCTGACGTTACATCCGGGTTCCTTCTGTTGTAGGGAATTCATAATACTCTCAATTCCCTTTCGCTGTGCTCCATTTTTTGCGCCTTAGCTTCGCTTTGCGCGTGGTTTCAGAATTGATTATCTTGGCATCCCTCCATTTTGCTCTATGCCTCTAAAATCAAAAGCTTTGAATGAATTTTGGGTTATTAAGGATTCGTTTTTTTAAATTTTTCTCCCTCCTCTCTCGTATCCTTTTTCTTCACCTTTCGGTCATTCCAGCATAAAGAAATTGTTGTGTTGACTATAATTGCCTTTCTTAGTTCTCTTTACTGCTAAAAATTTAGCAGAGGTATCGCAATCATTGACCATTTTTGTTATTTTTTTCATAAGAAAAGCCGGTTTAAGATTCGGGCTAATTTGCTTCAAGGTGAAAACTCAAATTGCTTCGATAATAAAAAAAACTGATCTTTAAAAAAAACTGACTTTTAGTTTTCGATGCTTAGGTAACGCTATTTAGTAGGTATTGCTCAAGAATAGTGAGTCAGTTCAATCCATTTTACATTATGAAGTAATGCTTTAAGTGTTAGTTGAAAAGTTTGAAATATCTATTCGAATCAAAATCTCTAAAGCCGGCAACTGTGCCAACAAAAATATATAATTTCAATTTTATATAAATAGGTATTTGTTGGAAACGTTCAAAAACTGTCAATATTTGGAATTTTTGGGTCTTCTTTACGCCAAATAATGTAAAATTTGAATTAATCCCCTTGTAATGATAGCATATTTAGCTCATTTTCCCCCCTCACCTTAACGCAAATTTATTTTTGCCTGACGTCATTTGTTTATTTCGCCTTATATTGGCGTTTTCTAACGTATATTATTGTTGATTTGGAAAGAGGTATTGTTGTTGCAACTAATTTTCAGAAATTACGGTAAAAATATGGTGTCATCGAGGGGAAGGGGGATGAATTGTGTGTTTTTGTCGTGCTGATTCGGCTGATAGGGCTCCCTCGCCGAGGTTATTGGTTCGTCACCTTAAAAGAGTTATTGCCGAAGAGAAGTGAATCTATTGTCAGGTCGTAAACTGGGATAGTGCAAGAATTTAAACATGTCTCCTCTGAAGTGAGGATGGAACCGAATCGAAGCGCAAAATACTCTGGCAAGCTCGTAATGCGAAAAAATGCATCGTCGAATGAATGGTCCCATTTAAAATTAGGATAACGCAGTCGGGAGCCCGAATATTTTGCGATAGCCACGATAACAATTTGAAGTGCTCGAAGGAAAAAAAATAAAAATAAAGAATTTGCGAGATGCTGTCGGATGTTGGAGAAAAGAAAAAGAGCGTATTGGCAGCTCGGTCGTTTTAAAATAGCTCGCTTGACATTTAGATCAGTTCTTTTGGAAAATAATTTCTCGCGTTAGGTGCTCGCTGCTCCGAAGCTTCAAATTAATTTGTTAATCCTTGTCCGCAAAAGGGGGATGGGGGGAGGCCCTAATCTACATGCCTCAGGTCTTCCAACCTCCCCACCCCGCCGCGCCGCCCCGCAAATGTTTTTCCTTTTCTGAATTTAAAGGGGTCATCTGATCGAATAGTTTCAACGGTTATTTAAAGGTCAGAGCAATGCCTCTTGCTCACTCTTGAAGCTCGTCAAAATTTGAGTGAACTTTTCCGTTTTAAATTTGTGGATCACGACCCGCGGTTGATACTTTTAGCATTCGGATGTTTTTGAAGTCGTTAATTATTCAGTTAGACACATTAAATTGTTCTGCATTTTATTTAACTCCCATTTAAAAACAGTAGATTACACTTATTGTATAAGCTTGAGTCTACAATACTCGTCGCTCGTTTACAGCTCCTTGTTCGAAATGATCGGTTTATTCCCGAATTTAGGGTTAAAGTTGATCTCTCAATGTTTTAATTTTAATTATCCTTTAATTCTTATTCATGTATTTTTCATTTATTCATACCTAGCTATGGAGCCCCTTCCCCCCAAGAAGAAAGGCAAAA